CGGGGTTTCCTAAGCCTGAGCCCCTAGAGTTCCTTAAGGTCCTTGAGGGGTTTTTATAGTCTCCAAAACATGTTATTCCCAACAGCAAATATTATGATCATCTGAAAGAGCCTTTCCTTGCTTATTTTATGCATTTGGGTTCTCCGTGAGATTTTGTTTTGTCCACCCTGGGCACGTTCAGAAGCTCTGACCTGGGTCATCTCGGGTCTTTTGTGGTTCTAACGTGACAGCTTGCGTACCTTCTCCTGCTGTTAGCAAACCCAAATGTGGTATGAGGTGTTGAGAGTCTGTGTTCCTAGTCATCAGAGAAGGGAACCAGGGGAACATCCCTTCCCGCCGACTTGAGATTTCATCTAGAATCAGGAATTGAGTCCGTTGTTTCCCCTCCCCCCCTCTTTTGGGCCCCAGGCGGCGTTGTGGCTTCAGGGCATGCGCCGCTGTGTGTCCAGGTACGGGCTTCTTCATTCGCGCATCTTTGTATCACAAGGAGTAGCTTGTGACTGCGGGCTGTGTGCTTTTCTGTCTCAGGCCGGGAACGTGGTGACAGGGGAGATGGTGGAAGAGCTTATTCTTTCTGGAGCAGACATAATCAAAGTGGGCGTCGGACCAGGTAAGGCTTGCTGGGAAGGCCAGCAGAGGCTGTGTGCAGGGCACTGGGATGGGGGGCTTGGGGACACTGGAGATGGCCAGAAGGGAGCCCGTGGGTGACCCCGCCACAAGGGTGAAGCACATGGCTTCTGGAAGTATCCCACCACTTTTGGAAGTTGAGCTTCCAGAAGGTCTTGTAGGAAATGTCACTGGGCTGCCACCGGGGAACGTCCCGAAGGAGCCGGGATGTGGGTTGAACGCGAGGTCCTGGTTTCAGAGCGTTAAGGCGGAAGAAGAGGATGCAGATTTCGTTAATGATCCTATATTCCTTGAGGAGGAAGGTGAGGGGGTGAAGAATCGTGGGGACGGTTAATGGGCATGAACGCCTCCAGTTTATATGAAGGTCTGAGGGACCCCAGACATTGCACATAGTAGGCATGCAGCTCTGAGGCCACATTTGAACTTGACCCATGGCCCGGTCAGTTACTACTCCCGGCTCCTCACCTGATACATAATGCATTTTGGATTTTGCCCATATTCTCTTAGGCATTTTCTCCTAGAACCACCCATTGGCATCTTGAGTGGAGGAACAAGGCAGAGCCTTTCTGTCCTTCTATTGGGTGGCGCCATTTTCTCTTGGGGCCAGTTGGTGTTCACCTTCCCCTTTGGCTATGCGTGAACACGAACTTCCATGTTTTCATATTCTTCCTTGCACATGCATTCCTAAACAAACACTAACATTGAAGAGAAGGAAAGAACATATACATTTTCAGCTGGGAATAAAAAATAGCAAAGATTTTTTTTTTTTAAAATATCACCCATTCAAACAAACACTACCCAAAAAGGAAACAAACCATAAAGCAATGCGAGAAGAGTGTGGGAACTCACAGAAGACATCGTTGGGTTGTGACTTGGCACAGTTACAGACTTGCGGGAACGGGATGTGTATGAAGGGTCTTGTAGGCTCATCAAAGTACTTGAGTGTTTAACGTACAGGGAAATGGTCAACATTGGGCTTTTGATGGTGCCACACAAGCCAATTAATAACGTCTTCTGAGCAAGAGGAAAGCACCTTTGGTCTTTACTGAGTGTTGGTCATTGAAAAGTCAAAGAGAGGATAAGACCCAGTTCTTACTTATAAGGAGCTCCCCGCTTAGGATGTCATTGACTGGGCTAATAATAGAATTGGTTCCCAGTAGCCCAGGGCACTCACCAGTCACCTGCTTAATCAGAAATACGTATTCCCGGATGTGTGCTAGCCGCCATTGTGCTGGGCAGGTGCTGTCCAGGATATGAAGGTGTGTGAGAAGTCTACTCGGCTCTCAAAGAGCCTTTTTTGATGTAATCTTGAGCGTTCAGCTGCACTTGTTTCCTTCATGCACATCCTCTGTGTATACATGCTGTTTCCCCAGAAGATTTATTGTCTTTCCGTTATCCCTGTGTGGGCCGCCCTCCCCGCCCTCCCAGCCCTGGCAGGGCTGTCTATAAAAGCAGAAAGGACTCTCTGAACAGAGTAGGGAGCTTTTCCAGAATGGCTTCTTTAAATTCGTTGCAGATGATTGTTCAATTTCATGAATTCTTTAGCGTAAAAACACTGGGTTTTCTCTAAGTGAATGACAGCATTAACAATGAGCACCCTGGCCCTGTACCTGGGAGGAGAAACATGTATCCAGCTTCTCCTTTTGACCTGAGCATTAATCAAGACCATTCCCATGCCTTGTTTGACGGCCATTTCCAAGAAAGGTGATCGGCCTACCCTCTGTAGGTCTCTCACATGGGCAGAGCTCTGGGCCCCTGCAGCACGTCCCTGCCTTCCCGCAAGGATCTAGCAGTGGAGTGGGAGAGAAGGCGAGAAGCCAGTTATGAAGCAGAAATTATGAAATGAATTCTGCCTTGCACAATGCAGGGCTGGTAGCTGGGGCAGCGTGTGCCTGGTGGGGAGAAGAGCTCACTGGCTTTGGGATTGCGGCAGCACCTGTTGTAAGGATAGACGTCAAGAGATGTGTTCTGCCCTGCGGCTGGATGGGTGCAGGAGGAAAGGGGGATCCCCCGCGCCTCTGGCTTTCTTGCTGAATCCAGTCCTGGAAGTATAAACACAGTTCTCTGTCTGATCCTGTCCTTGAGGATGCCGGGAGAGATTTGGGGGGGGGGGGCGGTGCATGAAAGGACTGGTGGTGGTGGAGAGTCAGGACAGGAGGAAGGCGTTCTAGGCACCTTGTCCCCAAGCGTGACGGCAGTGGAGTTCAAGCCCCGTTGACTGAGCTGTGAAGCATGCGGGTGACTCATCTATCTGAAGTTCACGCATTCTCTCGGCGACTATTTATAGCCCCCTTGCTATGTACAAGGCTCTGTTCTCAGCGCTGGATCTGCAACAATGAATATCCATGGAGCTTACCATCCAGCAGAGAAAACAGATCCCCTGCATTCTTACACAAATAATTCTTTAAATGCTTCTTTTGAAGCGAGTGCTGTGTCAGAACAACAACTCCCCTGAGGTGGTGACATTTAAGATGAAGCCTGAAAGATGAGAAGGGCTGGCAGGACCGGGGGCTTGGTTCACAGGGAGTGCTGGACAGAGAGAACATCGTGTACAGAGGATCCCCGAGGTGGGGAGAAACTCGTTCTGCCGGAGGAGCTGGAAGGCCGGCGTGGCCGGCGTGTGGGGAACAGGAGGGACGGAGAGGTGGCAGGGGAAGGCGGCAGGTGGACATTCGGGAGTTCAGTCCGGGTGATCTTGGGGTGTAGGGGGTGCTAAGTTGTTGGGAGGGAGGGAATGGACTTGAGCAGGGGTACGTGTGCTTGAGATGGTGGTGCTCTTCGCATGACTCGGCCTGGACATAGCTGGATAATACCCGGCTGACCGGTCAGCCAGGACTGGGGTTGACGGTGGGAAAGGCAGAGGGCAGAGGTCAAAGGGGGCAGAGGGCTTCAGGAGGCTTCCTGACACGGAAGCGGACCCCACAGCCCAGGCTGGACGGGGGCTCTGGAGAGGGTGGGCCATCGCGAAGCCCAAGAGGCCGGGGCCGGTCGACAGACCTGGGTGGGAGAGGGTGCAGGAATGGGGTGGGTGCGGCTCCCTCTTCTCCAGGGCTGCCTGCTAGCCCCGCGGGCCCCGTGGCATCCCCATTGCAACCTCAGGCTGCCGATTTCATAGGCGAGGCTGTGAGGCTCGGAGAAGTTAGAGATTGACCAACAGTGCAGGTAGAGAGGCCATGGGAGGCGACCGAGGGGTCCCTGGAAGTATACTGTGGCTGTGAGGGGAAGTGAGGGACGTGGGAAGGGACGGAGCGTACACAGGGACGGTCTGTGGCCATGCGGTGGGGGCTGATGGCACAGGTGAGTGACAGCGACAGGGTGTGTGGGGAGAGGGCGTCCCGGGCAGCCGCAGTTGACGGCGGTGAGGACCGGAAGGGACGAGGCCAGATGGTGTGGTTCTAACCACTCGCCCCGCCTCCACGGAAAGAAAGTTCACCCCCACCCCCTCCCCGCCGGCACTGCCG